ATTTTATTCTCACTCTGGTTTATCAGGCTGTGCTTTCCATATTTATGTTCTCTATCAATAGTTTAAATGCAAAATTAATTATTTTGGATAAAGGAAAACAGATTAAATATATACTATAGCCTAAACATAAAGACATTAATAGCTTTTTAAGTATAATTGAATAATAGTAAATGAACAATGAGTAAACATTAATCACACTTATGTTATATGTTTTTATTTTCCCCTTCATTTCCATAAATTATTTACTAAGCAAAATTTATTATTAACTTTGATACATTTTTCTATATGGTGAGAAGTTTTTTTCCATCTATCTATTATTTATTAAATATGTAAACCTTTTGATTTTTGGTCAAAATTTGTGGTCACACATCACATATTAAAATTTTGTGTTAACAAGCAGTGTATTTTACCTATGTTGCTACAACGCTATGGGACCCATATGAAACGTCATGCGATGTGACGACTCCCACCGTTAAAACTGATAATTTATACATATGAATGTATTTGTTATTTGAATTATTAGGTGGGCATACTGAAGAAGGATTTCCCATTATAACATTTCCAGAATGTCCAGTGTTTAATACAGTGTCAGATAAAGACTTTGTAAGGGTCATGACCTATCTTACAACTGTACCAAGGTAAGAAAATTGTTACAAAATTGTACTGTAAACCCCATAATTTTCGAGATTTGATGATTTTATGGTATTCATCAAGACAACATTTTGTGAAAGTCACTGAGACTCCACAGTATTTAATGTGCCATGAGAAATTAAGTTAAAGAATAATAAATAAATACAACCTGACGAAATAGGAAATTAACTAAATATAAACATTGGCCACATTAATTAAATCACAGAAATTTAGTAAGGCAAATGGGAATATATATGGGAATATAGAAGGAAGCTATATATCTGCAAGGCTGTCTTGTGTGTGAAGCTTTATCAAAAATTTAGGTGATTCCAGAAAAGGTGGCATTGCGACTAAGAAGGCAGTTGATCAAGTAGAACAAACACAGGGTTTAGCTTGTACTGTTGAAGTATCCCCTGCTATCCACTGTATTGTACCACAATTGTTATAAATTCGAAGTACCACAAAAATACCAGTAGCACATGAGTCAAAGTGTCTTGTCTATTGTCCAAACTGTTTGCCACATGAGCAGGTGACGACTCCCTCGCTTTAAGTGAATATATGTTTAGTATTACTACTGGTGTTCAAGTTCAGTTGTCCCCACAACTTTACTCATATGTTTTAATGAGATTAAATTAATAATTTTGGCAGGTTTCACAGTACACAGGACCTGGCAATAAGATAAGCTTTAAATAAACTCCCTATAAAAGTTTTACAGGATGTTCCCACCCTAGGCTTACAAATTCCTCTACAATAGGTGTAATCACATTGTGTAAGATTCTCTATAAATACAACAAACTTTCCCTGTAGCAATAATAAATACTTAAGCTGTATGTATGTATTCATAAAATAGTTTTTATGATTTGTACAATTGGGGGAGTATAAATAAATATCAAAAATACTCAATCCTTTAGATGCCCTATTTGTTCCTGTCTTTATTTTGATGTAACATTTATATGCATTTTTTTAAATAATTGTTATTAGCTCCGCTGTCGACTTTGTCGAGCGGAGCTTATCATATGAGTGATTTTCTGTCGTCATCCGTGTCAACTTTTTACTTTTTCGACTTCTTCTTGAAAACTGGTAAAAAGTGATATTTTCAGCTTCTTGTTAAAAACCGAAGTCCGATTGCTTTGATGTTACATATATAGAAACTACAGGTAGACCTCTCTCAGATTTGTTCATGTCTTGATGATATCTTTAATTCTCTAATTTTGATAAATATTTTTGTCATTTTTGGTAAAAAGTGATATTTTCAAATTCTTGTTGAAAACAGCAAGTCTGATTGTTTTGATACTATACATATTGTTCATTTTCTAATGATATCTTCAGTTCTTTAATTGAAATGTGCATTGCTAACAGCGGAGCTATCCCAGCTTGTATTAATATTGGAGCTAATAGATACAATATTTCATGAACTACAGGTTTTGATAAAAAAATTCAAAAGAATAAGGTTTATTATTTCTTGCATACAATGGCATATCAATCAGATTGCGTTAATGTGACGCCATTTATGTGTCTACCTGTGACTCATAATACCCTCTACTGGTGTTACCATAGTAACAAGGTAGATATATATTTCATGAGTCTAAATGTCATTTGTCAGTCTAGTGTGTGACAACTGGTTGATTTGAACCTACTTATAGTTCTACTGTCACCAAAGGTGACTGAGCAGAGCTGAAGTCTAACGTCCCATGTCAAATTTTGTATAAAGTACTCCTTACTAACTTATAGTGCTTTGATATTTGGAATGTACTTTTGGTGGGGATATATAGCAACTGTGTAATGAAAAATTCAATTCTTCATTTCTATGATGTCAAAATAGATGACAAATAATGGGATATTGTTATGAAATTACGCAAGGTTTGTGTCACGTCTGTTTTGCCATTTTGAAGAAGTCAAAATTTGAAAGTTGACAACAGTGATTGAACCAACCCAATCTGCTCATTCAGCTTTGGTGAGTGTGGGGTAGGGTGGAGGGTGGTGGATTCACATTCTTCAATATTACTCTTATGCCATGTTTTCATGCCAGTATACAAATAATTGACATGTGGTACATAAAGAGTGTGTCACCAGCTGTTACCACCTGTCAGGTTGATTTGACATATTTATTAACCTCTTAAAAATTGCACATTTATATGTTTAATATTATTATAGTTATGATTAATATTCTCATGGAAACATAACCACAGAATGAATAAATGAATAAATAAATAAATAAACTGTTCTATGTTATTGTAGGGATGAATAATTTTTTTTTTTTTTTTTTGGGATACATAACTTTAGGATCTTAAGTTTGCTATTTGACCTTTGACCCCTGACCCCCAACCCCCAGTACATGATTAGGAATCATTCATGCAACCTCCCCCACATTTCCCTGCCCCTCCCCAATAATATTTGTTGATCTACAACCCATTGTTTTTTTCACGTCTTGTTTTGTCTTGCGCTGCAGCCTGTCAAAAAGTCAACATGACAAGTAAGCCAAACCGTCTACTCTTACTGCATGTTTTACCCACTAGCATATACAATTGTTTTAACTGAAATATTCTCTGAAAATTACTAATTAATCTGTTAATTGTTTTAAATGTAAGTCATCCAGACATGCCTTTCTTGTTACACTACACTGTTGTATATGTATAGCCATAATTAAAAGCTAAGGTATTCTTTTCATAAATTTTGAAACGTCATCATAAATGCATACATGCGCTTTGTTTACACGATTGTGATAAATTATTGAATGCATGCCAAGACCTTTCTACATATTTTAACCTATTGAGCCTATAATTTGTCCCGCCAAAATGTCTATGCATCATTTTGCCATTTTTTATGCATTTTTTTTGTAATTCAAAATTCTGGTAAAATGTGGGGTTTATTTTGGTGAATAGTAACAGAAGTTGACTTTTTAATCAATGTCTTTTTTCTCCTAAAGTCTGTGTTGTAATCATATTTTTTTTTCCTTTACCACTACATGTACCTCCTAATATTTGTATTCCTCAGTCTCAAGCTGTTTTAAGCAGTGTGTGTGTATATGCTTTTCTGTGTGTCTGTCTGTTTGTTGTTCTCTTCAACTGTTTATCAAATATCACTGAAATTTGGTGTATTCAATATATCCCTGCAGACACAACATGGTTTTGGTGAAATCCATGAATTTACATGGTAATCTGATAAGAGTTTTCCTGTTGTAGACTATGATTTGGTTTAGTATTGTAAAACAAAACTTTCCTAGTAAAAAAAAGGAAATATGCTCTATGATATTGTAATTTTGCTTGAAAGAAATGGCATTGGTGCATGGGTGCTACCAAGCTTTTCCTAAATTGGATGGATGGATGTTCAAACATCAGTGACAACAGGAAATATATGCAAATCTGCACTTACTGGGTATTTACAGTACAAAGTATGTAAATTTGCACAAAACTACACTATCCTTGATTTTTATATTACTCTGTAAAATTATAATTATTATTTACACATGTATACATTTTATTAATTGTATTTTCAGTTTGCAAGAAGTGGATCTCGGTTTTGTAATAATTGTTGACAGACGTGAAGACAAATGGAGTTCTGTGAAATCAGCACTTGGCAAAATTGCAGTGAGTATGAAGCACTTGTCTTGTGATTCAGGTTCACCCAACTATAGTGTATTCTCTGGTCTACTTAAGTAAACCGCAGAGCTCCAGGGGTACTTTGCTGGAAATAGACTGTTTTATTTTGATCACCTATCTTATGTGGGTCCACCCAAAGCACTCCACTGTCATGTATTCTCATGTAACAACATGTACATATGTATGCATGTTCTAGAAGGCATTCCCAGACTAAAAATGTGTTATTAATTGATGTATACTTACATTACAGGGTTATTTCCCTGGTACTGTACGTGAGGTATTTGTACTTAGACCTAGTGGGTTTTTCCAAAGAACATTTACAGATGTTGGATTCAAATTTTATCGAGATGAGTTTAAATTTAAGGTAAGTACAACATCAACATTTTTCTTTTATTTGCTTTATAAATATATAAATGTAATTTTGTGTGATTATACTCTTGATGCAACAAAGGCATTCCCTTAATCTATATATATATTTTAGGGAAACAGACTCGACTAGCCATATTGTGCTATTTCTGTTTCCCTGCCATAGATTATTGAAAGTTTATCATTATTATTATTATTATCTTACATATTTTCATAATTTATTTGTATTTATTTATTTATTTATTTATTTATTGATTTCCTTGTAATACTTACAATCTATGGCGAATAAATATTATTATTATTATTATTAATGTCAATGGCAGTTGGATCAAACCAGCCAATCAACAGGCAGTGCATATTTTAAAATGTTACAATGTTATTCCATCAGCCAATAAAAAACTCTTGTCTGAATTGTGAAATTTATAAATATCTAAAGATGATAAAGATAAAGATGAAAGGAATGGCTTTGTTGCACTGAGAGTACTACATTCTGGATGGCGTTGCCTTGCATGCATATACAAATGTATAATGTTATTGAGTTGCCATTGGTACATCCATAAACATTAAATGGTAACATTATACAGGATTTCATACTACCTACTCTGATTTATTTCATCTAGGTGTTTATGTTGGAATCACTGAAAGAATTACATGACCACTTTGATAAATCACAATTAACAACCCAATTAGAGGGTGATATCTCGTATGATCAAAATGAATGGCTTGAGATGAGAGTGGTAAGTATTGTCATGTATTAGTTACCGTGGAAATGAAATAAACATGCTCCAAACATCTAGATTGTGATTTCAACAAAAAAAACAAGGATCCATTGCAGTGTCAAACACACAAGAAAATAATATTTCCAACTACATGTATCAGTATATGTTAAATATAGCACACCCAAGAGAAGTGAAACTAATCTAAAACAACTTGTTTAGGGAATTAAGGAATATAATGTAACAATACATATGTACAACCAATACTCAAATGCATCCATTTTATGGAGTCGATTATGTTAGAAGCTTATCATATTAATATTTTGTGAGAAAATTAGTCATACATAAATCACATGACAATATTCATTACTGGTATGTACAGTTATGGCGGTATAGTTCCATGGTAACATAAAACAGCATTCTAAAATTTGCCGGATATCATTCAAAAATTGATGTTTTTATAACAGTTTCATTATGACCACAAGGTTAGATTTTAAATTCAGATTTTTGAAAAAATATAGAAAAACAAAAAGTATCCCATCAATAACAGAATGTAATTTTTTCACCCCATGGCACCAGTCTACAATTTGAGATATATCTTAATATAATATTTCCACTATAAAAACCAATATTAAAAATGTGCTATAATACTGACAAAATAGATGCTATTCACAGAAATATATGTTTTTTTCGATAACATGCTAATATTGACAGGGAGTAGAATATACTGCAAAATTGAAAAATTCTTGGTATTTTCATTTATGAGTTGACTTAGTGTAGTCGTAAATTATCCATAGCTTTATTCTACATCCTACCTTAGAGTCCAGCTTTGGAGCAATTGATGAGAAAATAGATGGGGGTCAGTATGATGATAATTAATGCAAAAGCATCACTTATTATCGTATTCATAGTTTTCATTGATTAGCAGGTAACCATAAGCTACCCACAACACTTATTTAACAATTCTCTAAGACGAACCAGAACAGACAATGCTTCTTTCAATTACCACCCCTACCTCCACTAAAACAAATATGCATCCTCTTCTTTCATTCTGTTCCAGCTCTTAAACACAACATTCAACTATGCATTGTCAAATATTTGTAGCTATGTAATGCCGTAAACCATGCATATATCATATGATGTTTGCATAAATTATTAAATCAACTCATTTATTCATATTACCATCAAGAACTGACACATATACATGGCTGTCATTAATGTTGTTGACTTTCAGATCTACAAATGAACACAACACAACTATGCGAGTCTTTCTGCAAATATTCAGAATTTAATAATACTTGGCATATACAATATAATTTGTAATATGTGCTAACCTTTTCACCACCGGACGTTCTTGCCTTAATTTTTCTGCACTTTTTTCTTATATTCTTCAATATTTCTGGAAATGAACCCCAATTTTGAAGCCAACACACAAAATTTGAGTCAGTTTTCAGTTTTTACTAAAAAAATTGGCTATTTTGTCCCAAGCTTCTGAAGGAAAATGCAGACTATAAACTTGAATCTGTGGTGAAAAATGGGAACTGGTGGTGAAAAAGCTAACGTTTACAATGTAAACATTATATGTTTTATTTCAGGCGATAGAGAAATTTTCCGATAACTGTGATACAATCAGTAATGAATTAAAATCATTGGGACAGCAATTTAATGAGACACAACTGCCGGAAGACGTGCAGTCTACTGGTATATTACTAACAGAACATAGAAAACAACGGTATGAATTAAAAGAAGACTTACATAGTGCCATACAGTTGGGTGGTACCTTAATGAATTGTATGAGGAAATCACTCAATATAAGTGAAAATAATCCAATGCAAAGATTCTCAAATTCTTGTGCAATACAAAGGTATGTGGCTGCATATTATGAAGTCTAGTACTGCATAATAATGACATTGTGTTGTTGTCTGCATGACATATCTAACCTTTTCACCACCAGACTTTTTTCTTATATTCTTCAATATTTGTGGCTAATCTTAAAGCCAAGTGACAAAATTTGAGTCAATCTTCAGTTTTTACCCCAAATTTTGAAGGAAGGAGCAGACTATGAATGAGACTATTTTTTGAATTTGTGAGGGACCTGGTAGTGAAAAGTCTATCTATATAGTATTATTTATTTGTTATTCCTTGGTATGTCTATATGTTACTGCTTAAGAATTGCCCTCCAATATAATTTATGGAGATTTATTTGGACTCCATCTCTATTACGTGAATGGTGATCTTATTTTGCACAAATTACAGGAAATATAAAAACTTTCAATTTTCCATGATTTCCATAATTTGCACATTTTAATATCATCAAATGTATTACATAATAATCCCAAGACTCCAATAAACTGTTAAGAATAATAAGGTGTTTCTCTATAATAATATATAAAGGCATATATGTATACTGTTATATATATATTATTAGTGATTACATCATAATTACATCTTATTTTAAATTGACTTATATGGGCTACTTGAAATATTACAGACTCCTTGCCCAGCTTGAAGAAACAGAGAAAGCATTTGATGTGTTTTGGTGTGATCATGAATTAAAACTTATACAGTGTTTGCATCTGAGAGAGTTTGAACAAGAATATAATGAAGTAAGTGGTTTATCTTATTAAGAGCAGAATTCTGAAATATTATGTAATGTCTATTCGTAGATGTATTATTGATGCCACTACAGTATAGTGTAAATCTAGCATAACACAGCTGCAATCCTTCACTTTAATTCATATCCTTCACTTCTATACCCCCTAAGTCAGACGTCAATCACATGGATACCTAGTGCTAACAAGTTTTGCTTAACATATACATTTTTCAGGAGGAATTAAAATACTTGCATAATAAGACAAAATACAGTAAAATTTTTCAAACAAAAAAACGAAGTGAAGACTATGTTTTCAAATGGTAGTGTCGCTGTCTTGAATCAGTTTTTAATCATGTTACTATTTTCATCACTCGTTAAAAATAAAAATTTGTCATTCACCGAAAAGGTCATGAAGTTGGTAAAATTTGTGAGAATGGCATCTGAGGGTGAAGTGATATCCATCTTTGATTTCTTCATCAGTACTAAAGTAGTAAATTCGGTTTCAACTACTCCAATACTGACATTCTGCATCTTTTAATTATTTGTTGCATTATGAGATTTACTTACATATACACATTGCTGTGCTTCTTACTTGAATGCTTATATTTAGTTTACTGATGACATGTGATTTTCTTGTAACATTTGCAGGTGAAAGCTGCTCTTGATTCTTCATTATTATCTTTGAATCAGATGACAGAGCTTGGCGATACTGTTGCTAGGGTAGAAATGCTGATCAGGGAATACAATTTAGTAAAAGATAAAACACAGGTTGGTATATTAATTACATGGCCATTGGTCACGTAAGATCATTCTTTTTTTTTTTCCAGACAAGTGAACAAATTGACGGGAAGTCGAGTATAACACTATGACAGGGTTTCATTTTTCAACTTTTCTTAATTTCAATATCTCTGCACTCATTTTTTGATTGATATGTTTAGACCAATGACAAAACAGCAGGATATAAATTTTCATTTTAATTTTTGGTTAGATAAAATTATAAGTTAAAAATTCATTAAAATAGATAAAATTTAACTGCTAGGTATTTTGTTTATTTGATACACCCCATATTACATAGTTTTTTTTGCAATTATGTTCATGTATATACAAGCAGTGCATTATGGGATACTTCTATACCTAATGTTGTTTTGTGGTCTGAAGCAAAATTGCTGATTGGCAGCCATTTTGATCATAAAACTTGTTAAATTCTAATACTTGAATGGTTCCTCAAGATGATTAACTCAGATTCAGTCAAACTTATTACTTGGGTTTTCGATATGGATGCATATTATTTTGTTTGGAATTCAATAATTTAAGAATTTTCACTTATATGGGTAATGTTTAGTCACTGTTACCATGGGAAACCTTAATATGAAGCTTTATCTCAGTGACTTATACTATATGACTTCAATCATCAAAAGCAAACACTAGTGAAATGTTTATTCCTTACATAATTTTTTTACCAAATTATCTGTGCCAATTTTCGTCATATGGACTTTTGCAAACTTGCATACTTGTTCAGATTACTTGAACACAAGACTACAGTTGTGAAAATAGCATAGTTGTTTGCAAATAATCTAAATAACTTCAGTGCATGTATTATTTTAGCCAGGAAGGTACACTGGTTAGATACAACCAACTCAAATGCTCCAAGTTTGTTGGTGCATGGGAATTTATGAATAATATAATATTGAATATTTTGTTTACAGCCATTTTTATGTAGAAATCAAAAATTAATATTGGATGGTCAAGAAATGATAAACAACAAACATTATGCTACAAATGACATTGAACCAAATTTAAATGATTTAAAACACCTGTATGATGTCATCAGTATCAAGTCTGAACGGCGAGGTAAAGCTCTAAATGCGTCGTTAGATTTACAGCAGAGGATAGACAAGGTATGTATAGAATACAGTATTGGTGTAGGTGGCTTTTAGTAATATAAATGAGCTTGTCTGTTGTAAACAACACTAAAATCTCTCAGCACGTTCTCCACAACTCACTAATCTGCAAGAGGTGATATATGTGTGTACATTGTATTAAACTCTTTGAGTGCCAAATATTTTCATGCTCAAAATTTTCTGTTATTTTCAATGAATTCAGTCTTAATTTTGGGCCAAATGGACTAAATTTATCATTGCTTTTAGTTTTTGATCAATTTGTCAATGCTTTATGTAGAGAAGAGCAGACTGTAAATGGAACTATTTTATTTATGGTGATTGAATCACATTTTTGTCAATGCTTTTCCCTCTTAGTTGCACTAGATTCCTGGTTTCTTTCCTTCTGCCATATTTTTTTTTAATTCTGTTGCCTAGTGATGATACAGTGACTAAATTTGTGTATATTTCTATTTCAGGCCAATAAATGGTGCAGTGATGGAGTAGACTTATTAGCTGCACAATCAATTGATAAATGCCAACTTCTGGAAGGTGCTCAGTTTGAACTCAAGGAAATTGATAATTTTGTTGAAAAATCTCAAGAAATAAATTTAGATAATCCTAAAGAATTCCACGCTATGTTTGATCCTATACTTACACCAGAATTGAAGGTAAGAGTATCTTCAAGAACAGTGTCATGTGATATTGGTTACTGTTATGTCATGTGACTTTACTTCAAGGTATCTATTGGCCAAATAAAATTACCACTGGTCTGCAATTAACTAGAACTAACTATAAACATTATAGTATATATATATTAGTGTTAGTATAATCTTAGTTAAGCAATGATAATCATAAAAATATTATATACACAGACCCAGTTTAATATAAGTTATTAGTATATTAGTAACTTTTTTCCATCTTTGTCATATTTCAGGTGAAGCTATACTTTCATAAACACTGTGCTATAGTAACATTATTCCACATTTTATTTATTTTAATACAAAACCAAGATTAAAATATATGGTCACAAAACTACTTTTTGCACAAAACACAGGTCAAACACATCTAAATTATAAAGTAATAAAATTTGATTATTTTTATGGTTCATTTATATTCCACAAAAACTATTTGTTACCGGTATATGGCACTAAATACTGACCACAAACTTTCAATTCATTTTAGGTAGCTAGATTGTTTAGTTCCCTGTGAGGATCCTGAGCTGTTTATGGGATAGCTATTTAGTACTAATATATTGACAAATAACTTTACTAAGCATGCAACATAAATACTAATAAATCTTCATTTATAGCTGTGATCTCTATTTCCTAGATTTATAATTTGGTTTCTGAGCTAAAATAACTTTTTCTGTCCAATCATTAGGTTTTCATTATTGTTAAACTCAATTTCAAAACATAATTTGGTATATTACCAGAATGTCTGAAACGAGGACTTGTGTTTTTAGTCATCAACTGTTTCTCAGGCCAATTGCATTTAAACTTGGTATTGACATCAGTCATGGTAGGTTACTGATGCACGTTACATGGAGGCCATGTTTGTTTTATTTTCATGTGTCCTTATTTCTCAAGTATGCTTTGACCAATATTGCTGAACATACTGGTAGATACAAAAACAATATATTATATGCATGTCTAATTGCTTTTTGCCATTTTTGTCTCACCCCCCCCCCCACCTCTAAGTCTTCAACTGTTTCTATTTTATGTTTTGGCTTATTTATTCAATCTTAGTATAAACAACCCACATGATGGACTACTGATGCATGCAAGTTTGTTCTCTGAATTGATTGAAAATGACTGACTGGTGGTCATGTTGGTTTTACTATTTCTCTGGCATACTTAGACAAATTCGTTCTACTCAGTTGGTAGCATGTTATTATGTTGAATACTTACCCAATATTTAATTATAATCTATTTTTTTCATTGTTTTTTCATTTTTCATTCACCAAGTCACTAACAACTGAATGGTGACCATGACATTGACAATCTAAATGAAGGACAAAGAATACTACTCTCAACATTTTCGGGAGTGGGCCGATCTCACAAATAGGACCCCTACTTTTGAGACCAAACTGTAATAAAATTGAGTTTTCATTATTTCTAATCTAATTTAGCATAACTCAAAATTATCACACAAAATATACTATAATTATACAGCCTTTGATTTTAAAGTTCAGCTAAAGGCTCCAGTCCGCTCCTATACATGCATATTCTAGTAATTATTCTAAAATTCTACTTAATAACTAAACTGACTATGGGCAAGGTTGCAGCAGTTGTGCTATGCTATTTCAAGTGACGAAATAAGGAACAAATCTTTGTAGTTTAATAAAGTAACATTGAGGGCCATTTCAAACTTATTGTGACTATCCAAGTAGTCAATAAATCTATATTCAAGATTACAACTACGGGAATATTTGCTGTAGAGTAACGATGGAGTAAACATTACTAAACGTGGGTTTCATTTCATTTATAGTATCAACATTTTTTAATGGAGGTAAATAGATAAATGAAGAAGGTATTGTTGTTAATATAGTTATTATTGTTACTACAAAAATTAGTGGTGACGATTTATTGTGAAATGACATTATGTGATTTTTTTGAACTTTGCTGACTAATAACTGGAGGCGATGTATTCTTACTATGTATTCTCATTTCAGTACTAAAACCTTTCATTTCATCCTTCTCTTCATTCATATCTTGGCTTCTTATCTAGGATCATCATTACCAGGTTGGTGTCTATACACACACATTGCTTTCATATTTCACCTTCATATTATAAAGTCTGTATTGGTTTGGCTTCAGATTTCTGTTGCATTGTCATGTCAAATTACAAATGCATTTATTATTTTGTAGAGGGGAGGTATAAGGAGAGGTGGGCGGTGCTGGCTTATAAAGGTGCTCCCAATTGAGCAATAGTAGTATGTAGTTAGTTACGTATCGGTGGCTGAAAATAGTTCTGATTGAGTCTGGTTACTATTCATGCAAGGAGGTTCAATCATTACTTGTACTGATTAAATCGCCAAAGTCGTTGCACTGTGATATGTTTGCACATTCATTGCTCCATGACATGTGGTCCCATGTTACATATATACAAAGTCTATAAATTATACATGAAATTTGAACACTTCCCACATAGCGACTGTGGCGTTTTAATCTAATTTTTATATATATATTTTCAAATTAAATATTGTTTTGTCAAATATTGTTTTATTGTTAAATGTCGTAACATATGCTCACACATTATCATTCTTTTTACTAAAGATATTTGTTGATGTCCACTTGTACTGATTGTATTTTAACTTGTATTTTCAATGACTGATATATGGTGTTAAAACAAAAATATGAGCAAGTTTATTTGAATAGACAAAAACATAAAGTATACACATTCTACAAATACATAAGAATATTGAGATGAACACTAAACATTTATCTCACAAACTCACTCTCTTGCTATTCTAATAATGTGCTTTTGTCTTCACCACATGTTACCATAGTTTCATACCTTATCTACTTCTTTTTCTTTGATGTAATATGTTATGCTCCAACACAAGGTGTTATTGCCTTCCTGTATTACAGAATTTCAACACAAGGTGTTATTACCTTCCTGTATTACATGACTCCAACACAAGGTGTTATTGCCTTCCTGTATTACAGGATTCCAACACATGGTGTTATTACCTTCTTGTATTACATGACTCCAACACAAGATGTTATTACCTTCCTGTATTACATGACTTCAACACAAGGTGTTATTGCCTTCCTGTATTACAGGATTCCAGCACAAGGTGTTATCACCTTCCTGTATTACAGGATTCCAACACAAGGTGTCATTACCTTCCTGTATTACAGGATTCCAACACAAGGTGTTATTGCCTTCCTGTATTACAGGATTCCAGCACAAGGTGTTATTGCCTTCCTGTATTACAGGATTCCAACACAAGGTGTTATTACCTTCCTGTATTACAGAATTCCAATACAAGGTGTTATTGCCTTCCTGTATTACAGGATTCCAACACAAGATGTTATTACCTTCCTGTATTACAGGATTCCAAAACAAGGTGTTATTGCCTTCTTGTATTACAGGATTCCAACACAAGGTGTTACTGCCTTCCTGTATTACAGAATTCCAACACAAGGTGTTATTGCCTTCCTGTATTACAGGATTCCAACACAAGGTGTTATTACCTTCCTGTATTACAGGATTCCAACACAAGGTGTTATTGCCTTCCTGTATTACAGGATTCCAACACAAGGTGTTATCACCTTCCTGTATTACAGGATTCCAACACAAGGTGTTATTGCCTTCCTGTATTACAGGATTCCAACACAAGGTGTTATTGCCTTCCTGTTGATTCCAACACAAGGTGTTATTACCTTCCTGTATTACAGAATTCCAATACAAGGTGTTATTGCCTTCCTGTATTACAGGATTCCAACACAAGGTGTTATTGCCTTCCTGTATTACAGGATTCCAACACAAGGTGTTATCACCTTCCTGTATTACAGGATTCCAACACAAGATGTTATTGCCTTCCTGTATTACAGGATTCCAACACAAGGTGTTATTGCCTTCCTATATTACAGGATTCCAACACAAGGTGTTATCACCTTCCTGTATTACAGGATTCCAACACAAGATGTTATTGCCTTCCTGTATTACAGGATTCCAACACAAGGTGTTATTGCCTTCCTGTATTACAGGATTCCAACACAAGGTGTTATTACCTTCCTGTATTACAGAATTCCAATACAAGGTGTTATTGCCTTCCTGTATTACAGGATTCCAACACAAGATGTTATTACCTTCCTATATTACAGGATTCCAACACAAGGTGTTATTGCCTTCCTGTATTACAGGATTCCAACACAAGGTGTTATTGCCTTCCTGTATTACAGAATTCCAACACAAGTTTTTTTTCATTATTTTCAGTTAATAGCACAACATACATTGAAAAGAATAGAGGATGTGCAGCAAATGTTTGAGAAAAGAAGATCAAGTTTAAAAAAATTAGCCGTAAAATTGGAGAGACCAGTACAGGCTGTTGTACCTGCTGTTCCTGCGCTCAATAAATCACAAGCTCTTTCAACTTCAATGTCATCACTTGGATCCAAGTTAACACCTCCGCCGTCACCATCACCCAGTGAGAGTGATTTTAGAAGGCAGAAATCATTATTAAAGAAAGCTAAAAGTGCACCCAAGGTACCGTAACTGCTCATTGAATTTTAGTTTATTCTTGTCATGATGTTCAGGAAAAGATGATATGGAAAATGCAGTGTCAGATACTCAAGTCTGTTGTCTGAAAAAACGTTTTTTTATGAATGAATTAGGACTTGAACTTCAGGCAATCTCTGAAGTCTTCAAGTCAATGCTTTCCATGTCTCCTTGAAATACAAGCCTTAATGAATAATTCATAAAAATAGCAGATACAGCACATGATAGACCAATGCTGAGCTATTATCAGATGGCCAGTAAACAACCAAACATAGACAGCTACTCCTGTATGCATGCAGTTTTACTTATATATGTTGCCCTGTAA